TACCATTTACTTTTAGATTGTGTCAATACAGCACGTAGTATCAAATGAATAAACCGACCGGGAAAAAATATTTCCTCTTGCTGTGATGTTTGCTTTTATTTTCAAACTGACCGATATCAATTGAGTCATGGGTATTTCATGTTCAACACAAAACGGCAAAGTAATTATTTTCCTAAACATCCCTGATGCTGCTCTGAGGATGAAAAAAGATATCCAAATATCTTAACAGAGCCGCAAGCAGGATTAACTTTTTTAACAAATGCAGTGAGCACTTCACTTAAAAAAAACATCACACGGCTCAAATTGAACTCCCTGGCTTGCAATGGAGAAATGATGTGAGTGGAGCAAGTTTACGATGGAGCAAATTTAAAATCAATTGAGTTTTCCATCAAATCGAGCATGCGCTGTTGACTTCATGGGAAATCTCACCACCACACGCTTAAAACGACAAACCAAGTGCCCAGCCAAATCGAACCAATCATTTTCCGTGACTTTGTTCGGCAACATTTCATTGGCCAGGCGACACGCCAGTCGTACCGACACACTTGCTTCGGGTTGCTGATGAGATGGCAAACATGTAATAATATAAACTATGGGGCTTTTTGCGAGTATCAAAATGATGAAACAAAAGAGTAGCTGTTTCTACCCTTTCTGGCAATAAAACAGGAGGTGTTAGGATGTTCAAACACCAAATAGACGCCCCTTGCAAGGCATCAAGTTTGCATTAACACTATGAGACCTCCTTTACCAGTAGAAAAATATAGTAATAGGGTTTTACCCTTTTATCTGGTACAAAAACTGACACATTTATACAACGGATCATGTTTGCAATAACCACAACACAAGCAGTCAAAATGCAAACAAAAATAAACAACTCTGATAATGATAATGATCTGCATTAACCACACGTACTTGTGGCAAAAATCATGCAAACAAACATGCCCTGATAATATACGCGTGGTCTTTGAAACTGATTGGCCTACACAGGAGACGGCCTTCTCCCTGGCCTTGTCTCACCAGTGTCATGCCAGAGAACGCCAAAACTCCAACAGCACTAAGACAATTGAGTTCACAGACGATCTGTAATTGTAGCTCAAGATAAAACGAGCGGCTGTGCGAGGATGTGTTCGCGATTTCAGGCCAGGTGGCTCAGGAGGTTTCTACCAGTATTAATCCCCATTAAGCATCGCCCTCCAAGCAGTCCCTATGAAAGGCTGGTGTCAACTTGTATGAGAACGTATGCTGCCCTCTCGTGGTTGTGTTGCAATCCGTTGGCCAGGCTGCGTTGGCTCGGTGATGTCGCCCCCATAGTCGAACCACAGAGCGCCTCAAGCAGCACCATGCGACATTTGGCCACAACATTGGCATTTTTACGAGGTATAGATGTTTAGCCAAACATAACGTCGTGAGAATTTTATTGTTTTATATTTTTATTATGTTATTGTTTCCCTTCTTCGTGACTTTACCGAAAGAACCAAGCTTATTAATATACCTCCAGTAGTTTTTAACACTTTTGGAAAAAATATGCTGATGGTTCTGAGTCCATGTTTGTTGAGTTTTATAGTGTTTATATGGCTCTGCATAGCAGGATGAGTAATATAAAGTATATAACCTTGTTTTTAGCTTTTTTATCGTACCTTATGATTGTCAACTAAACCGTACGTATTGTGCTGAAATAAATGGTTATAGGTGGATTAATATTTAATTAATTTAGTTGCATTGCAAAGTGTGTGGCACGATCATGAGGTCAGTGGGATATCAATGTTAGCATGAACCACGTGACTTTATTAATTGCATGAAAACATATAGATTTACCAATTGTGCTGTTTAAATTCTTTTTTTTTTACAATAAATAAGTAATACAAATCAATGGAACGTTTCTTCTCAGAAGTATTTAATTTAGCGATGATAATGGTAGCGTTCATGCCAGGCGGACAGCAATGAGTAGGTACACAGGCCGCGATGCAACTATTTTAATTTAAAATTTTATTTACCAGTTTACTATTTTTATTACACTTTTTATTTACCATTTATATTTTTACTCTTTGGTTCTTTCGGTAAAGTCACGTAGAAAGAAAATAAATCAAATAATAGAATACGACGTTTCGATTGCAACACAAGCAATCGTCATCAGGTAAGAATGAATTGAGAAAACAAACCTATTAAACTTAGCAACATAATGCAATACAACACAGAGAGTCGGCTAACACAACAGTCAACACCCTGCCTGGTTGATTACGTTCTTCCAAAGATAGCTAAATTTGAGAGAGAGACAAAACACAGACACGGAGACACATAGACAGACACACAAGCAGAGAGAGACACACACAGAGACAATTTACAATTTTATTTACCAGGCCCACTGAGCTGTATAGCTCATTTTCATATTCTTTGGTGCTTTCGCGAAAGTCACGTAGAACTAAGAAATTTAACAAAAAACTACTTTTTAATTTTTTTTGTTCTCCGTGACTTTACAGAAAGACCCTAATAATAATAATACATTTATTTACAGCCCTTTGCCAATAGATTTCTGCAATGGCAGAGCCAGGATTTTCAGGTAGGAGGGGCAACCCCTCCAGCAATGAAACATGATAGAGGAGTTGTTAGTAAGTAAGGAGTAGTTAGTAAGTAAGGAGTTGTTAGTCAGTAAGGACTTGTCTCTTGCTTTTTATTCGACGCGTGTGCGGCGATGGCGCAGCCATCGATCGAGGGTCGAATTCGAACCGCGTTGTGTGATCGGCATCGCGCTCGCTGAAGGTGAATGCTTTCAGGGAAGTCGTGTACTGTATACACGCAACTGCGTCACTTATAACTGGTCTGTCGGAAAGATAGTGTCTGAATGACTGCTTGCGTTGTGGCCGAAACGTCGTGAGAATTGTATTTTATTATGTGTTATAATGTTATTTTTATTATTTTCCTTCTACGTGACTTTACCGAAAGAACCAAGAAGATGAATCCCTGCAGTCACGAAAGCTTTACATCGAAATTTGCACTGATTTTTTGACGGGTCGCTGGTAGACTGGATTAGGCACGAGCTGCAGTCATAGTGAAAGTCATACTGGATGCTGTGTGACGGGTGCGTAAATATTGTGTGGATTGCCGACCCAGACATACCCAGCTGAAATGAAGTCCCGGTTGTAATGCAGCGTTCCTGGTGGGTTTATTTTTAGATTTCAGTTGTACGAATATTTGGTTAAGAATTATTTTTGATCATTTTACCTTTCATCTATTTTTCTTACATTTTACGAGCGATATAGTCTGTTAGCATTATCTCTAGCATTATCAGTTTGTACTGCGTCAATAGCGTATTACTGAAGAAACAAAACAGCCCTTGATCGCTCGCCTTACCAACAGAGCGGATGTAAATAGTCTGGGGTGAATAACCTGCCACTTTCGATCTTATCACATTGCTCACGCGAGGTTTTATTACACATTGGCCAGCACGTGGATGACTCACACATGTATTAAGCAATTCAGTTCAGAATCATTGACTCACTTAGCTTCCGGTGTTATCTAGAGAGAGGAACACGTTGTCCTTTAACCTGACATAGCATGCCATCGGCTGCAAAGTTATTTTGAAGCTGTAAAAAATGAAATGTGGTACACTAACGAGCATAAAGAAGAACAGTTTTAATCAGTGTCTACTAACTGCTATTGCGTGTGGTTTAAAATCGTGGTAATAAAAAATATATACGGAACAAGAACAAACGCTTAAAAGTGTTTGTTGGATTTGAGAACATGCTCGGGCTGTATGATGTAATTCAAATTGTCAATAGTCGTCTTAGGCAGAAGTTGCCACCAAAAGGAATGATGGCAGATGGTTGAGAAGAGTGCAGAATAGCAGCAAAGTAATGGAACTTGTTCAAGAGGATGCCAACAGAGGAGATGGAGCAATGAAATCAGGTGATTAAAATATACTGGTAGTAACCTCCTGGTTACACCAGCCCACAGGGGATTATTGTGTCCGTCCATCGTGCAGGGAGGAGCTGGGTGGGGAGAGAGGGGCTGGGTGCGGAGGGTGGGGCTGGGTGGGGAGGGGCTGGTCACCCCGTGGTGCCCTTATAAAACTCAGCGTTTAACCTACTCACGCCGGCTTGTGCCCGCCCTCACAGTCGGCCATATTTGCGGAATACACCACGCCGCCGTTGACCCTGGCCATTGGCCGAGCAACCCAACGTTCCTACCAGCTCCCTCTGCAGGAATGTGTTATATAGTAAGATCACGCGTGATGGACACAGAATGGGGAAGCCGTTTTCCAGCAGTTGACTGGCATTGGCAGATGAGGACCAAATCACCTCATTGTGCCCGATCTCATCAGATCTCAAAAGCTAAGCAGGGAGGTTAACCTGTCGAGGTGTTTGGATTGGCGACCACCTTGCATACCAGGTGTTACAGGCCATGGGGCTACTTTTGTTTGGGCAGCAACATTCAGTGGTGCGGAAAGGTTCACTGTTGTACTTTAATTCGGTGTGCTCCCACATCTATGTTTCCGGTCTACATGAACCTGCATTGACCAGCGAGGTGAAGTATGGTCAAATAATCCCGGCACCCACCACGTTGAGAAGAGGCCTTCGTCCAGCAGTGGATTTACAATGTCCAGGACATAATGAGGGATCATGAACCATTGTCATGGTCCAGATTTACCAAAAAGGTCGTTCTGCAATTACGTGTCATACAATGCCATTGGATGATGATTTTTTTTTATACTGACTGTCATTATTTATGATGACATAGTCATTATAACGCTGGCCAGCATTGTAAAATGTATAAACAAAAGAAATCATCCAGTAGTAGATTGACTAAGCCACATCTACAACTGTGGCATTACCAACACTTTTGTAAGGGTAAAAACAAAGTTGATATCACATCGACAAACAACAAAATGACCTTTATATCTATGGCCCTATAAAAGTCTGGGTTAATATATTGCAAGGGGAAGTTGTGACATCCCCTCATTCGGGTGATGCACAGAGAGTGTGGCTTATAAAGGCAACTGGCTGCACTCTACAGACTGGAACGCGTCACCAGGACCTCGTAGCATACACAACCAGAGCGCACAAGGTAAGCTTTGTTAAAAATGTACCACTGATGGATTGTGTTTTGTCTGATGCTGTGTTGGCAGTGGTGCACAAGCACAAATGTTGTATAAAAAAAACTCTACATATTTAGTTATGAATAACACTGCTCGAGCAGAAGATTTATTTTTTTGGAAATGGCCATTCTTAATATCATATCTTACCTCAGCTTTGAATAGAGCCCTCTGCTATAAGGAATGGCCATTACCCAAAACGTCACATATGTTTCCTTTAAAGGCAGTGTCATTGATTACCTCTTACAGGTAAACATGATAGTGCAATTCGTATTGCTGTATTTGAATGACAATACTGACACTTGATTGCATTATATTCTATCAGTGTTTTTCTCCGTGTATGATTGCCTCGTTTTCTATATAAATACCACCACCTTTGAGATGTGGCGCAGGAGATTGCACACTGCGCGGTGAATCCACCGACCTGAGTTCAATTCCTCGCCATGGCTAACATCAGTGGCAAGTGATATATGAACCAGACTTGTTCCCATCATTCACCAACTTGCACTATTCAGTGTGGTGAAGAAGTATGGTAAAACAGCCTGCCACGACCAGTGGTGAATTTACGCAGTGCTGTCATTTTGTTTTAACTACCGTATTGTATATCATATGTAAACAAAAAACCAACCCGGCTATGATGAGTGATAGATGTACAAACCAATGTAATTTAACATGCACTCTTTATGAACGTAACAGTGTGCTTCTGTGTCTTTCCATCCTTTCCAGATACTGCACAAAAAAACCCGTCAGTCACGTGTGATGAATGTAATCTAATGTATTCTTCTCACTTTGTCATCATGAAGACATTTCATTGATTAATATTCTGCTCTCACTGGTTAGCTCGTTACTCCCTCGCCCGTTGTTTCGATATCTCCGTCGCTTTTACCAAAGCGGCCGATGGTGTTTTACCCTAATAACCGCAACGCGTAACACCACCACCTGCACAATCTAAAAGCTCGTCCGCACGGATGACTCAGACGGGCCCCTAGTTTACATTGTCGTCACACTCTACGACGGAGCATATTTTTTCCTCATTCTCATTCTTACCACGCACAGCTCCACCCAGTTCGTCTTCACGTGTCTATCCAGCCTAAGAAATCCACCCTGAACTCAAGAAGCTTGTTAACCCCCCTAACATAACGAAACCTTCATTCGTCGCCGGGGTAAAGTTTGCGTAGTTACTCCCACCTCCTTCCAAGCCGTCTGTCTTGCCAGCGTGGAATAGCAGGCGCAAATACTCCCCTTTAATTCGCGGGAGCCCTTCATCCACCAGCCAGTGGTGTGAACCAACAAACAAAATCGCACGGCTGTACCGTGAACTTTAATTCGTGGCCACAGTGACGGCACACACTATACCGCTACAAAACCCGTGCAAGCAAGCACAGCCGTATATAGCCATGGGTCTCGGCTTGGGGAAGGCGATTAAGTCCGTGCTGGACAAGGACTTTGACCTGGAAATCTTCCGCCTGGAGCCACCGGGCGAGCGGACGATGCCCCCTCAGCTCGCCTTCCTGCTGTCTCAACCTGCCGCGCCGCGTGGCCTTCAGTTCCAGCACGGCTTCAGCAGCACGGACCTCTCCCCGTCCATGTCCCTCAAGGAGGGAGACGCGCTCACCGTGCACCGCAGGCAGACGCGCGACACGACCGACGCGGCGCGCGGACGCACCGCCTACCGTCGCGGCGTGCACACCTGGGAGATCACCTGGCCCACCGAGCAGAGGGGCACTCACGCCGCGGTCGGCGTTGCCACGTCGGACGCTCCACTCGAGGTCACGGGCTACGTGGCCCTGGTCGGCCGGGGACGCGAGTCTTGGGGTTGGGACCTGGGGCGCTGCAAGGCGTACCACGACGCCGTCGACTGCCCGGGCCGGCCCTACCCGGCTCACTTGCTGCCCTGCGAGAGCTTCCACGTGCCCGAGCGTGTGGTGATGGTGTTGGACATGGAGGAGGGCACGCTGAGCTTCGTGGTGGACGGGAAGTACCTGGGAGTGGCGTTCTCCGGGCTACGCGGCAAGACGCTCTATCCGGCGGTGAGCGCCGTGTGGGGCAACTGCGAGATCAAGATGCGCTACATCAATGGGATTGAGCGTAAGTCCAAATGCATTTGTGTTAAGAAACAAAACTATTTAAACTGTAAAAATGTTATTTATTTATTTTACCAAGTAAAGACCACTAAGCTGTATGGCTCTATTTAAGAAGCGACCTGGTCACAAATGACTGCCCAATGAAGTGGCTAATCACGTGGAAATGTATAGCAGCCAAATCCTCTAAACGCGTGTTTTCTAAATGTGGAGGAAAAATACGGGAGGAATCGGTGAAAAATCCACGCGACCACACGGGGAGAACTTGCAAACTCCAAACACACAGGTGTCAGGGTCGGGGTCGAATCCACGCACTCCTGCATACGAGGCGAGGTGGTTAACAATTCACCACCATGGCATCGTTCCGCGTGAACTCTGTGTGTCTGCCCGTTTATCCGTAAGAGGGGGAAGGGCACGATAATTCCCGTAAGTTTGGTGTAAAGTTGCGTTGCTATAGAGGACTTTTCCTGTTGAGAACCAGTTAAATTGGTCACAGGCTTGCTCCAAACTTGGAGACACAAACCAGAGAAAAATAGAACAATATTTTTCAATATGCAAACGCGTTTTGCTGGAAAGTATAAAAACTATGAATGCCCCTCATATTTCCTATTTTTTTAATTAAGTATAGCAATTTTAAATAATGCACAGTATGTGCAGTAACAGTGTAGACTGTACACGAGTATATAAAAGGCATAGTTACATTTTGGGCTGCAGATAGCCGTGCGGCAAATGTATTGTTGTACTGTTCTATGATCTCACATTCACCAACCCGAACTGACCAGGCGCAGTGAAGTGCTGTTACATGAATTGCTACTGATATTAGCCATGAGCAGGAATCGAATTCGAGATGCTTGTTTCATAGCGTCGTAAGCAAGCCACTTCACCACCGTTCCCCATACACGACCATACAAACAACAACAACAACCACCATTCACCACTAAGTAGCAGTGATATCACCAGAGAAATGTTGGCAGGAAATGTGCAGTTCGATCTGCACAGATGGGTTCACAAACCCGCTTCCTGTACTGTCGTGTTGCGTGTTTAGTCTGTTGTCTTTCCCTAGCACAGTTGGCTACGTACGGTGCGAACGAAGTTAAACATACCCACACAGCGTTTTTTATTTGTTTATTTTAAATATCTGTGTGACACGCTTAACCTTCGCCTTCCGAAAGCGTTAGTGTACAGATGCGTTTGCGCAGCACAATATAATTCGTGGACAGCATCCAACACGACGCGTGTACAGCAGTGTCTACGCTAACTCATTCGGCTTCTGCCTTACGTTGTTGTTATTGTTGTTGTTTTTCTGCAGCTGGGCCCTTGCCACTGGATGAGCTGTGCCGACGTTCGATAAGAAACTGTCTTGGAAATGACCGTCTGGAAGAGATCAATGCTCTCGCCCTACCGACTCTCATCAAGAGATACCTGCACTACAATTGAGTCACCTTGGCTCGTACCTTACCGTGCTCCTCTGCATATTTTGAGCAGAAAGTCACAAGTTTAGGAGATCGTCGCATTTCATGAAAGCCGTGGCACCGTACCAGACCGTACCTTCGTAGCATTACGTTTGTGCAGAAGTGCACATCCATAAAGATTAGACTTTGGACAGAAGCCTTGGACAGCTTCATAATATTCGATAAAGTTAAGCAATATGCATTATCTTTAAGCATGAACTTTCCACGATATTGTCAATGTTTTGGTGAAACAAGGATAAGAAAAGTACCACATTGTGAAATGAAAAGCTGTAAATGTTATCGTGAAAAATGTGTTATTGTGCTGGTCACAAAACTCGACTTACATAGAGTGCTTGTATTTAGTATATAGTGTATTTTATATTTATATACCTGAAGCAGAAAGTTATTTGTATTAGATTGGCGCCTTGGATACAGACGCTAAATGTACTTAAAGCGTAGTGGTCGCACAACGCTTTTTTGCTAAAACGTGGTAGTATTACCCATTCGGGAACACTTTTCGCACGATGTGGAACGCACACCGTTAGAACGTGGAACGCGCACCGATATAACGCAAAACGTCCTCGTTATAATGCGGAACGCGCCCGTTATAACGCAGGCCGCACCTGTTATAATGCGGCACGTGGCCGTTATAACGTGGAACGTGCACAGATATAACGTGGAACACACCCGTTATTACGCAAAACGCACCACGTTATTACGCAAAACGCCCCCGTTAAGACACGGAACGCTCGCCTCAACGCAGAACACGCCACATCTTAATGCGGTTTAAAACTATTTTCTTGAGCTGCATTGGTGATCGGTACGATAGAGTACGCGGAGTGATACAGTAACGCGGTGGCGAATCCTCACTTCTTTGTTGCACCATCTCACTGTGTGTGTGTGTACATCGTATCTCATCAAACGTTATCGTTACATTATTTGTGAGAAAAAAAATTCGCTTAACGTGGCACTTGTCAGGAATTCATCTACCGCATTAAAACGAGGGCTTACTCTAAGCCTTCACACTGGTCAAATCCTTTCATACAGTATCTCAAAATTGGCTTCATCTCTCCGATGCTCCCATCTGGTGACCCCACTTAAACCTGACATCTGTTGGCCAATTTCTCTTCTTCCAGTAAAATACTGAAGAACATTGCAGAGAGGAATATTTTGACTCCTCTGATCTCCAGCAAGTATCTGACAACCAGTTTGAGTTTCACAAGTTTCACTTTACACATTTCTGCAGGGAGTCCATCAGTGCGGGGTCAGGTAGCAGGTGCTGTCACCGCGAACCTCATTCTATTCTGCGAGGCACACTTCAAAAGTTTGTTTCAATTCGGGTTTCAGTCGGTACGTTTGATGCATTAGCACTTGTCTGGGAAAAAAAATCCGTGTGGTCACGTCTGATCAATTTCTCACTGGGTATGGCTCAGTGATTGGTTCTCTGGCCATTATTGCTGTACTGCACAGCTGTTCGGGCACAATGTGTGCTGAAGACATCACCATCTATGCGAGTATATCCATCAAGGCCATAGCCATGGAGTCAACATTGGGGGGGGGACCAAATCTTCCAGGGGGTCTGGGGGTCCCAACCCAGAAAATATATAAATTTCAAAACTTATTTCCTGCCATTTCCTGCCTAAAATATAAAAAAATTCACTAACACATGGGATAGACTTTTTATTTATTTTTTACAACAATGTCTAATAGTGTATTGTATTACATTGCTCTGTTTTTACTTTTTTACCATTTCTTGTTGCATTGTATGTAATGTTTGAGATTAGGGATTAATAAAGTACAACCATAACCACAATCATATGAACAGAAATCTATGCATTGATTTATATGAACACAAGTCCAGATACTGTGGCCAAGGTTTAGCAAATTGTTGTTTTATTTACATAGCATAACAATTATTATAACTAAAAAAAAAATTATAGCAATATATTGGGGGGGCCATTTTGAGCATATTTGAATATTGGGGGGGATGGTTAATTCGGGTTATATTATAATTACGGCCTTGATATCCATCTCATCTGAGTTGAATATAATGGGATCAAAAGTGAAGCCATCTGTTGTATTGGATCTCTTACAACAGACTGTAAACTAAAAAATAAGTTAATGGCAATTGTCAAATACTGATGCGTAAACAAATTTGACTCTCTGGAACAGTCGAACTCATCATTCTTCATCAATTTTCTTTCCAACGCCCATCAATGAAACGTCATGGCAAAGAACATGTTAACCCATTACTAAATAAGTCTGTGTATTCCATTTGTCTCCTATAACATGCCAATCGTCTGGGCACTGACGTCCCCGGTGCATTTCCCTCATTGACAGTCATCTCAGCTGCTGTGATATGTAGGAGAGCTTCAACAAAATCATATGTCAGTCAGCTGTGGCATCTGCGAAAACGATGCCTCTGTAAGGTGTCCTGCCAAACTCTGACTTCTGCATTGAATAAAAACAACGACTGCATATTAAGCACTTGTCCCATGAACTCATGCTCACATATACATCTACTATATATTCATAATAAAGGTTATTTTGGGTTAGATCGCGTAAATATAAATTTGTTGTTAAACCCGCCACCACCTGACACACCAATTAGTAAGGTTTGTCATGTTAACGAAACGTGCCAATCAGTTACTACTTTAGCCTCCCGGTGTGCTGGAGAGTAAACGCACAACATTTATAATTCGAGTACGACGTTTCAGCAGGTTTAACGACACATTTCTATTTGCGCGATCTACCAAAAAAAAAACATTAATTATGGATAATATTGGTAGCGAAAGTCTACGTGTTCAAATGTAATATGTATAAACAGCTCCCAGTTGTGCTGCGTGAGAGATTTAACATTTTTTTACGCCAAATAGCGACGACATTGTGACACAAAGTGGAGTTGGCGTTTTCTCTAGCCGGTTACCCAGCTACGTAGACTGACCACGTGTTTGTGTATGGACGTGCTTAAGCCTGGAATGCACGGTTTGTTAGTGTGTCTTGCTCTTTCTCACAACAGCGCTCTTTAAAAAAAAAATCTGTGAATGTCGACCTTACAAGGAAATGTAATTGCCTTTTCAGCTGCTGCGTGCCCTGATTAACTTGTATTATTCGGATGCGTTCATTTGGTTCTCTGCGCTTAAATGATTTCCTCTGTATCTATGAGATAGAATGTGAAAATTAGTTAGTTCGTTATCCGTGACAAATAAGGCCAGAGACGCTAAGCCACAAGCGACCAGTGAAGCAGGCGCTCCAGACTAATATTTAGAGTAACACAAACTAAACACTTTTGCCAATAACACAGCCCTACAGAGGCGAACGATATATAATCAGGAGACATTTTGGGCAACGTCCCTTCATCATAGCAGAGATTATTTGGTGATATTGCCAGTGGTGTGCAGTCTCTACCTCTCTACTACATCTCTCTATGTGCTGTTGTTGAAGGATATCCTTCGTCCAAATACATTGCCTACACACGTGTTATTGATGAACATGTTGAGTTTTCTGTTGTTGTTCAAAGCAGAGAGGTAATCTCAGGCAATGGCCCCTTTCAGCTGTTATATGTCCTTGTGCACCACTATTAACACAGTTTTGTTTTGCATTGATAATTGTACATTGTTCATAAGCTATATGTGGCAATTTTATACTGTACACGTGCTGTGCGTGTAATTTAACGTACTGGATGTAACATGTTTACAAGATGTAATGTACTGTATAAACCTTCGGATTTTGATGTAAAAAGTAGCCGTTTCATCTAAGTGCAGTGTGGATTTTTTTCTGCTTAATAAAAGTTTTAAGTTTATCTTGTTCGTCCAGGTGAGAAGTCAGTAGACCACGAGCATCTCATTTGCAAGAGTTACCTGGGTCGCCAAAATGACAAATGCAAAACGAATAAGATAAAGTATGGAACTAAAATAAAGTACAGCAATAATTCTAAGTGTTATGCATCGTGCACTAAACAAAGAGACTGTCCACAATGTAGTCACACAGCCTATCGCACCATCTTTAAGACATGGTGGCCACCCATCCAAGCAATCTTCAGACTCAAAACCTGTTTAGCTTCTGAGATCGGATGGTATTGGGTGGATTCGTCACACGGCGTCACAAAAATTCAGACCCCCCCTCTCAAATATGACGTCACAAAGCTCTGCCCCCTCCCCCAAAAATAAAACATGCTTCAAATCGCTTTAAACGATTGTCATTGTAGTGCGTATTTAATGCGGCGCTGCACTCTGATGTTGTAGGAGAAAACATTTCTTAAAAAGTCTATTTAATTAAGTAGAACGTGTTGTCTATATTTTTTTAAAGTTATTTCGGTAAAGTCACGTAGAAGGGAAATAATAAAATAATAAAAATATAAAACAATGAAAATTATTACGACGTTTCGACTGCAACACAAGCAATCGAAACGTCGTGAGAATTTTTATGATTTTATATTTTTATGATTTTATTTCCCTTCTACGTGACTTTACTGAAAGAACCAAGAATATGTCTCCTTGCAGTCACGAAAGTTTAAAATCAAAATGTATTTAAAGTTGTGCAGTTTGATGTGACGTCACATTTCTCACCCCCCCCCCCCATCGTCGCACATCATCACAAATGTCTTACACCCCCCTAGGTGCGTGACGTCATTTATGGCCAGCCCTTAAACCCCTTCAGGTAAAACAACACAGAACTTGTTACAACAACAAAACATTCCCTCTGATATTCTTAGGTTTTTTTTCGGTAAAGTCACGTAGGTAAAACATCAAAATTAATAGCTGCATCAAGTGAGGCAATGATTCAAGATGTAATCCCTTATTTTTTATTAATTTTGATGTTTTACCTACGTGACTTTACCGAAAAAACCTAAGAATATGAATCCTTGCAGTCACGAAAGCTTCAAATCTAGAATTCCCTCTGATCTGGCACGACCAACCAGCCAGGGGCGGGACTTAACGGCAAGGGGCGTGTCCTAATCGCATTGACCACGCCCACTTTTCACCGCCTCCGCCAATCGGAGTGCGCGCCTGCCGACCACGTGGTGCCTCTGAACGGAAGGGGGGCCCCTCGTGTCGGGAGCGAGAAGGGGGTGGCCTTGCTGCCAAAGCTGTCGTTATCGCGATTATCGCGGCATTTACCACGAATTTTGATTGCTATGATTGTGTAAACTCACGTAATGGATCTCCAGCCCCTGCCGTCCATCGTTCACTAAGAGGTACGCTCGTAGCGGCGTCGAATGCGGCGTTTTTGTTGAGGAATTTGCCACTTGCGTGGCCCCGCGTCTTGGTTTCGAGGCCCTCTCTGCTTGGGGGACCCCGTTGTAGACGGGGTCCCATTTTAATGTGGTGATGGTGGTGATGGTGTTCGTCTTGAACCACGTACAACACACGGCAATCACTGTGGTACAACAACTGCCGTGTGTGCTGGTCTCTGTGTATGTGTGAGGTCGACGCAGCCTCCAATGAGTAACCTGGTGCGTTGTGTGTAAACATCGCCACTGGGGAGACAAAGGCGGCCGGGCGTGGTGTTGGCCACCCACCCCCTCGTGTGCCGTGCCGGCCTTCATAGGTGCTCGCTAACAGCAATTGCACCAAAAGTGTTTGTGTGGGGAGCGGTGGTGGAGCGGTTAGCGCGCTGCGCTACGAACCTGGCGACCCGGATTCGATTCTCGCTCACGGCCACCACCAGTGACGATTATCTGAACCGGTCCTGGGCCTCCCCTAGGTCGACTCGGCCTCAAATGAGTACCTGGTGCGGTGTGTAGTAAACATCGCTACTGGGGAGACAAAGGCGGCCGGGCGTGGTGCTGGCCACTCACCCCCTTTCGTGTGCCGTGCTGGCCTTCATAGGTGCTCGCTAACAGCACTTGCCCCTACAATCTGGTAAAGACTAAATGAGGGATGTAGTATTTTGTGTATTGGTGTGTGCGTGTTGGTGTGTGTGTCTATGTGCCGAGTGCCTCTGCGTTGGCTGTCTTCGTGTGTTTGTTCTCGGTGTGGGTAGTAAATACAGTACTTCACGTGTATGTCAATGTGTCTGTATCTGTATGTATAGGGAGCGGTGGATGATTGGTTAGCGCACCAATTAACAATTCTATGAACCAGTCCAGGGCCTCCCTTAGGTCGACTCATCCTTAAATGAGTACCTGGTGCGGACTTCATAGATGCTCTGTAACAGCACTTGCCCCAACATTCTGTACGGGGATGGGGGTGTTTTTCATTTGTTTTGAATGTGTGGCCGGATATGGAACTTGAGCCCATGAATTGTTACAGGCGATTTCCAGAATGAGATCCCCCCATTCTGCACATAGCACAGCTGTTCATTGTCACACATTGGTCATATGTTGTATAGTCCTGCGAGGTCGTTGACTTTCACCTGCTTGTAAATAAAGTTTGTCTTGTTTTGAATGTGGTTCGACCAGCATATAAGGATATGGGCCGCTCGGCTCTGGTAAATACAGTTCTATAATATGCACTGGTTTACCATGGACTATATATAGACATTGGCGTCTAGTTCCTGAATATACTGCCATACGCCGGATACGCTGTCAGTCAATACAAAACACTTGCACTATGAGATGCTGCGTCTCGAGGCAATGAATGAAGGATTGGTAGGGCAGTGTGAGACATGAAAGGCTTACATCAAAAACATGCGTGGAATATCAAGAATCAGAATCTTTAGTTTGACTGGAGGAATCCGATGAGCTATGAAACTTTTTTTCACAGATGTCCAGAATGGGCAGGTCAGCAAGTTAAAATCACAAACAATAAAAAACAACTATAGGAGTGAAAAATTTCGAAAAAACTAAGCAAGTCACTAGCAAAAGCTTTGGCAAGGCCGCAAAAGCAAATTGAAAGCAGTCCCAGACCACACCAGGATTACACAGTCCCTCAATACAATAGACGGTATAGGATTGGGGCAGTCAATAAAACATTGAGAGGAGCAAGGGGTGCAGAATGAGAGATGTGAACAAGGGAAGGGAGTTCCAGTCGACAAGGATAGCAGAGGAGCAAAGAGTAAGCACCCATTGAGCAGGGATGCTTATTATCCCTTTCACCCCACGTCTACCGAGAACTTGCTCTGTTGAACTAATTTTGGCCACTCTTTTGTACAGCGTCTGGAGATGCGGTTGCATTTAGACGTTGCATAAATTCAAATTGCATTTTTTAATCGACAGAAGACCTTGCTTATTGTCATTTGAAACCAGGGCCACGGGGAAGGAGAGTAGAGGAAAATTAGATGGGAGTAGGTAGACAGGCACAAAGCCATGATGGCCTTTAAATACTTTACTGTATAAACCTTATGTTGTAAATAACAGCACTAGCCCTGGAAACCATTTTTAAATCCTTTATATTAAGTTCGCTTGCTTGCTTACGACCGTGCAAATCTTTCGGTCGTTTTTTAACCCACTTCCCGTGATCCAATCGAGCTGACATTTTCCACACAGACTCGTTGTGCGTGACAATTAATGCTCGTGAAAAAAAATTCCAAAATTTTACACTTTTTAGGACAAAAATATTATATTTAATTACCAATTGCTTAATGGTGCAATGCAATCATCTGACCCATAGGTAGCAGCCATCTCAAGCCAGAGGACGAGAGGACTCTAGCCGCCACGCATATAAAGGATTTATAGTGAAAAACTTTGTTTTTACGGGTTATACTTATTAAGTCTTAAAATGCAATGGAGGCACTGAAGCAATTCACTGTGCATGAACCATTGCCTGGCAAACTAATCTGGATATAGGTGCTGTTCAGCCAGCCATATGTTAGAACAAGACTTGTTATCATCATCATTCTTGTAGGAGAGCTAACATTATCAGCACTTTATGCTGCTGCGGTTATTAGGTATAACTTGAGAGCTCATTGAAACTATAAGAATATTTTGAGAGGGACGCTTTGTTAGGAGGTCAGTCTCGCCATTAGGTTACGGAAGGACAAGTCCCATTGCTCGTCGCCTAGGATAGCAGACGGCTCTCACCACAGCTAATAGTATATGTCATTGTATAGCCCTTTTTTCAATTCACGACTGGATGAGAGCCCATGCCTGGTGGTTCGTTGGGGCTTCTTTGACAACACTTCTCCAGGCAGGTCAATGTGGGTTTTTGAAGGTAAGAACCATAGACTTTGGAGCTTTAGAAGTACATTACAACAATTGTTTTTTCTACACTGCTCTCTGCTGCCCACAAAATATTCCAGAACTATTACAAGGCATGTGTTATGCATGGTGGTTACCCATACAGACACTATCCAAGCTCAGCTCTGCTTAGCTTTTGCGATATAATGAGATTGGCTGCATTCTGGGCGAATTAGGAATAAACACAGATCAGTACACCGATGGAAACGGCTTTATTGTAACGTAGCCAAAAGCAGTATGCCACTTTCAAACAATTTCCTACGTGAAAATCATGCTCTCTCATTGCAACCCATTTCTTCTCTCCGTTAATATTTCCTTCCAATGTTTTTCTTCCCCCCCCTTTCTCAGTTTAACCGACCGCAAGACCCTTCGACTATGTTCACACCGTCTGGCAAGCCAGCGCGGGGCCCCACTCTGATCCCGCGGATGAAGAGCAAGCACAGGATGTACTACGTCGCCCTCTTCTCGCTGCTGCTGCTCGGGCTCCTCTCCACGGGCATCCTGCAGTTCTGGCCGCGGCGCGGCGGGGAGGCCGAGGGTCGCACCGCGGCTGAGCAGCGCGACATCAACGATGTTCCCGTCATTGGCCTCGGCGACTACAGCCCCATCCCGGAGCGAGGAGACCTCAGCTGCCGCATGCACACGTGCTTCGACGTCTACCGGTGAGCGTCGTGGGCCGTGGCGGTCACATTGATGTTATCGCAAAAAAAGGAATCTGTTTTGTCGTATGAACATCTTAACACCTGTTTTGTGGCCAGAAAGGGTAAAAAAAAACATTTTTTTCCATCATTTTGATACTGAAAAAAAAGGTCCCATAGATGTTATTGTTATTTGTCACCATCCCATCATCGTCGGGGGATCCTGCCGTGGTGTAACGCACTCTCAACATCATGCGGATGACTCTTACTTTATCGCACATGGATGTCGTCATATGGATGACTCGCATATGCAAATGAGCAATGTGGAGCTCGTTTACCTGCTCCACTTCCAGTGTCAGCCAGAGAGAAACACACAGAATCATTTCCCCCCCCTTGCATTAGCATGCCATCTGCTTTTTGATACTGCCATGGTGTAATGGTTAAAAGTCAACTTGTTGTCCAGTGATGCATCGGTTCGATTTGATCTCCCCACGGCATTTTTAACCATGGGCAAGTTTGTTAAATCCCCCCGCCTCTCTCCATCCAGCAGTATTAATGGGTACACACCATGGTTGATGACTAGATCGTGTGTGGTGGGGTGAAGTTGTAGGTACACGCCACTGCTGTTACGCCAGCAGTGGTTCGAGTAGGTCTTCACCTTTTTTTCATAACCATAAACACTATTGCCAGCACTGCTGTTTTCATCGTCGTCAACATTATTATGGCACTGTTTAACATCTGCATTGCATGTGAATTTGACACTTGGCTTCTGACCTGATGGCGATGTGGTTTAATCGCTTGACACAGTTATAAGGTTCATGCGACAGGCGGTGGCGACAGCGCCGCGGTGGCGACAGCGCCGCAGCAGCTGGCTGCAGTCCCGTGTCGCCCCCACTCTTTTTCTACTGTTACCACACCTCGTACCTTACCCACGTCTTTCTTCACTATCCCCTGCTCTACTTACTTTCATCTTTCACTACATCTTCTTTCTTATTATTTATTTTGTTTTATTATTTTCGTCATTATTACTTTGGTGGTGCCCGAGTTTTGGGCGGTGGCAGAACCCTGCCTCCAACCCCACCCGCCTCCGCGGGCACTGCACACACCCCGCGGCGCTGCGACAGCTGACAAATGCCGGCTGCGGTGTTACACAGCCCGGCTGACCTGCCGCCTCGCACAGCCGAGGGGCTGTGCGGGTGAACGATGCCGGCTGCTCCCACGCACGAGGCTGGAGGACGATGGCTGCACTGTTTTCTGCCAGCGACGTCCTCACAAGGCACCTCTTCCGCCTCTGTCAGTGAGTGGGAGCTCGACGTGTTCCATTCACTGCTCAATACCACCAGCGAGTGGGAACGTGACGCAGATTGTCCACCGCTCAACATAAGAGAGTGGGTTTGTCTGCTGCCCAGCACCACCAGCGAACGGGAGCTCGGCGAGTTGTCCACCCTGCTGCATCATCTGCAAGCTGGAGCACAGCACTTGGTCAGCTACTCTACTCGACCTCGTGTTCTTCTGGCCGCTCCATCGTACGCGCCGCTTGCGTGGTCGTGTCCGCACGTGTACGTGCTCAAGTGTTTACGTAGGCGTTTCCGCACCCGCCACGTGCGTGGGAGCGCGTGCTGACAGCGTGTATCTTGACCACCACCACCTGGACTTGCTGCTCCGGGCAGCACGGCCGCTAATCGGAGTCTACCCGAATCCTGGCCCCCCCAACACCACCAACCGTACAGCATGGGCTGATATAATAGAGCTTCGACATGCACCATTTCTTCATCAGCTGCCCCTGGAATCCGCGCTCCTGAGGACGCTGTCTGGCCTCAGGCTTCTTCGCGGTCAACGTCAGAGACTGCATCGGCACCGTGGTTGCAGAGGCGGTAGGGGCCGCTGTTCACAGGTCAACCTTCAACCAGCTGTTTCCTCTGATCTCTTGATGCCGCGCCTCTTCGGATCTTCACATCCACCTTTACCCATCCGCCTCGGCCTACTCAACTCACGCTCCATTACCGACAAATCAGCCCTGATTCACGATACCAGCTCGGACCACCACATCGACCTTTTGCTTGTTACCGAGACCTGGTGCAGGCCAGACTCCCCCACCAGCCATCTCTTTGGTGGTTGCGCCCCCGGGATACAAGGTTCTTCGCAAACCTCGTGTAACTAACCAGCGGGGTGGTAGCTGAGCTGTTGTCTACAATGCTGACTTTTAAAGAGTTCAATCTACCGATGGCTCCCGCCACCTTTGAGGTCCAGTCCGTGTCCCTCACTACGAACACCGAGTGCTTTTCCCTCATTTTCATCTATCGCCCTCCAGATGGCAGCATCACTACCTTCTTAAACGAGCTTTCCGAATGTCTTTACCTCATTCCTAACCCATCTCACAGGCTCGTGCTTACTGGAGACTTTAACTGCCCCGTCAATACTCCAGTCTCCATTGATAGCCACCTCGAGTCAACCTTGGCCTGCCATAACCTGGTCATCACCAACTCAGGCCCCATCAGAGATTCCTCAACAAATTTCGAGAGTATGCTCGACCTGGTTCAGGAACCTGACCTGGATCGTCATATCTCTCCACTGCGAGTTTTCCAAACTGGTTACTCTGACCACCACCTCATCCTATTTTCCCTCCAATTTCCAAAGCCAATCACCATCATAACCACCCACCACTCCCGTAATTTCAAGGGTATCAAGTTTTCCACTCTACAGCACCTCGCAAATTCGCCTTCAATATTATCCCCATCTTCCGATTCAACTGTCTGCGCTCTTCAGCTAGAAGCTGACCTGAGGGCGGTGCTGGACAAGTTGGCACCATCAAAACCACGAACCACTAGGCAGCCTTCCCACGACACTCGCTGGCTCTCAAGAGACGCCATCTTTCAAATGTTGCAATTGTCATCACCTTCATAATTGCATCATTATTTTCAATATGGGACTGCATGTCACAGTTCTGTACTTGCCATTTCTAGATATGGTCAGTTGCCGTGTGAGAAAAAAGTGTTGTGAGTAAACTCTGAAATGAGGATTTAGGCAGGCTGGAGAGTGCACGGAATGCTCATGTAGTTTTGGACAAGGTCTTGATTTAACATCTTATGAGCGAATCAGAGCCTCTCACAGCTTGGTGACCCACTAACGCTCTACCTACCGAGACATCTGTTTATATCTACACAAGAGGACACATGTATTGTCTTCCATTGGCAGTACTCATAATAAAAGGATGCTTTGTGCATGATACCTCGGTGTTGTCCACGGTCTCCTTTTCAGTTCAGTCATCGTTTTAGCTCAACCACACTTGCATACGGAGGCAGCCAGGTAGCTCTTGCGTTAAAACACTAACCTGGGGCACTGCCAAGGTTTTCATCCAGAGAGTGACATGCCATTCAACCAGATTCTTACGTTGTAATTTTATACTTTAGCTAGGTTGTCAAAGATTCTCTGCAAAGTGTGGCATTAGCTTTGTGGTTTCTGGAAGAAAAAAAAATACAATTTAAGGTTGACTACCATGAGATGGAAATCTGTGTATCAGGGCGTCTAGAAGAGTACAACATTGCAATCCTGGTGTGTGGGTAAGAAGTCACCGGTGATGTCATCGCCTTGGCGTAAACGGCTGTCATAGTTCACGCTGATGGTTTATTATCAAGTTTTGGTTGAACCTACGTGGCTGGTTTTTGGATTGGGTAATTCTCGAACAGTAGCTGAACTTCATACTCACATTTTATTTACAATGGATAATCTTCACGAGAGTAATCGTGGCCCTATTCTACAGACAGAGACGGATAGAGCGAATGCATCCGTTGGAATTATAACAAAAAAAGTTAGGCATAGGTTTTCGAGCTCTTGCATAACACATGCAAATTATTGTATCCGGTTTGTCGGAGTTTGTTTCCAACTTGTAATCGCTATTATATATAGTGGGAGGTGTGTGTCTGCTTTTCCTTAATTATTTCCTTTCAAGACCGGACATGCAAACTTGAAAAACCTCCGCTGACTCATTTGATTTTTAGGTGTGGAGGTCTCCGTGGCCGTATGCCAGAGACACCCGTGGCCGTATGCCAGAGACACCCCTGCCAAGGATTTGTCCAATGTATTGCTGGCGTGGTAAATATAGTTCATAATACATTTTATGTAGATTGTAAACTCGACAAGCATTGAATTACTTTCACTGGTGTGACCTGTTGTGCACAGTATTGAAAAGCCATTCCTGCTCATTTATGTAATTGAGATTGCCATCAGTTTATTGAACCGGCCTTGAGTCAATTAAGTGAGTGCCCTCTATTACCGAAGCGACATCAACATCTCAATGAGCATTGCTTCTAATTAAAGATGCTCATCGATTAACATCACTTTTCAGGAAATAGAGAGTCGGTAAATGGATAGTGGGAAACGTGTGTGTGTGTGTGTGCACGTTGCATGAAGGCGGTCGGGCGTTGTGCTGGCCACCCCACCCCCTTGTGTGACGTGCTGACCTTCATAGGTGCTCGCTAACAGCACTTGCCCCAATAGTCTGTTAAGGCTATACAGGGGGGGGGGGTTCTTTTGTCTTTGTTGCATGAAGGCATAGACGAGAGTAGAGCAAGTCGAGTTGAAGGGCAAGGAGTCTTTTTTGCATTTCCAGTGCTGTACTTTGTATGTCGAATTAGGCCCATTTATTGTGGTGAAGCAATTACGGTACTCTGCGCTACGAACCTGGCAACTCGGCTTTGGATTCATGACCATTGCGGCTTAACACCAGTGGCGAGTTTTTGTCTGAACCAGTCTCGTGCTTCCCTGCTTCATTCACCTGCACGAAGCAGCAGTGCGAGTAGTTTGGTTAGAAAAAAATCACTCACGGCCTACACTGTGAGGAGGCCATCATCCAGCATGTGTGGGTATTGTGACTTAAAAGTAGGTCGTGTTTCTCTTTTTGGAAGCCAAAAGGCATTTTGGCATCCTCTGGTCTAACACCGTTTTGAGACTAGGCTCCAAAGAAAGCTATCTCTGGTGTGGACCAATCAGTTTCAAAGACAATGCATATATTATCAGTGTTTTTTGTTTGCATTCTGACCACAAGTATTGTGGTTAATGCAGACATGATTCCTTGTAAAAGGTTTCAGTTTGGTGTTTTAACATCTTAACACCTGTTTTGTTGCCATAAAAAAGGGGAAAACCTATCCTCACATTTAGTTATTGTAATTGCTGAGCAGATAAATATGGGATTTCAATGTCAGCCTGATCTTCGCTCAGTTGATTCATTTTATGTGTTTTTCAAATGTTGTATACTGTCCATTATAAGTTTTTGTATTTTGAATAAAGTTGTTGAATCACAAGGTAAAGTAATCCTCTTTTTCTCTCTTTTTCCATAGATAACCAGATAGCAGCAGTTATGAGTGTGGATAATAGGATCTTCTTCAGAATCTTTATTTCTCCTGGAGGAATCCGACAAGCTAAAAAGCTCTTTCACAGATGTCCAGTCAGGGGCTGGTCAGCAAGTTACAACAACAACTAACTAACAGCGTCCCCAAATCCACGTTAGATCTGTGGTCGGCAACCATAATGACAAATAGAGCCATTTTCTTCTATTTCGTTAAAAAACGAAGTATTTCGAGCCGCAATGCATGTGAACACATGATGGTCCTTAATGAATAACGGCAAAACCATGTTTTAAGTTATCCCTATTTTAAGAACAGCACATGCACAATGATTTTTAATGCCACATTGCAAATAATTGTTGGCCTTTTTAATGTTCAGCGTTTATCGAATATAATTAGGAGGGTTTCAATTAGTTACTTTTGCAACCATAGTGTTGGGAGCTACGAAGCAGTTCTTAAAGAGCCGCATGCATCTCCGGAGCCGCAGGTTGGCGACCCCGGATTTAAACGTAAGGAGTTCGAGTCTAATGCCTTTTTTGTCTCGCTAGCGGTCTTCACTTACGGGACGCTCGCTCATTCTCCTTTCGCTCGACATTACAGGTGCGGACACAACGCCCGCAACAAGATCCGGGTGTACATCTACCCACTGGTGCGCTACGTGGACGAGCGGGATGCCACCGTGGCGCACGTGATCTCGCGCGAGTTCAACGACATGCTAGCGGCCGTGTCGGAGAGCGAGTTCTACACGGACGACCCCAACCGCGCCTGCCTCCTGCTGCCATCGCTCGACTTCCTCAGTCAGGACCGCCTCAAGGTCAAGGAGATGGCGCAGGTGCTGGCACAACTACCCGGGTGAGTTTAACTTATTTCCCTCCCCGCTCTACATCCGCGCCAATGCTGAAGCAGCTTGGCACAGCTCAGGAGGTTTTATTTTTCTATCCCCCCCCCACGGCGGAACTAGAGCCGTGCTGCTGATAGTACACTCAATGAATGAGTCAACACACGTAGACCATGCGGTAACGCAGTGTTCGAGTTGTGTGAACTTGCGTAACACGCTATGAACACGTCCTTAGCCCCACCTCTGGCCCTGCTTGTACGGGCCGGCGAAACGCGGTTTGATTTCTGGCGTGGCTCGGCAAATAGACGGTGGAAAAACTGAATTTGGCCGTGAGGGCTCTGCACCGACTTAGCCATTGGAATAGGCGGGTTGAGGTTGAACAGTGAGTAGGGACCAGTCGGTGTGCTCGATGCGAAGCTGGTTTAGTGCAGAGCCAGTGGTTCCATTCCCCACACACGCGTGATGAATGATACATGGAATCATTAAAACTGTGCTCACTGCTCTTAGGCGGATGCTCTTAATGATGCGGTATGATATGTAAATGTAGCGCCATGGAATAGTTCAACCTGAACCCATTGCCTTGTTGAACATTACCTCCAATTAAATTATGTGATGCGAGCAAGGCTTGGAGGCCACAGAGGTCAGAGCACTGAGGTTCCACCGCTGAGATTCTTGGTTTAAACCAAGGCAGCCACCTGCAATAAAAAAGTGGAGTGAATTGACGGTTTCTGCCTAATTGCCAATGACTGCTTCACATGGCCCATGATTTAAGAGAGAGAGTTTCGAATGGGTACTTCACCTCGGGATATTATGCCGATGCCGCGGTAATGATAACTTGGGGCGTGAGTTCGCTTCAGTAGTTAACGCGACCCAACTGTGTACAGTTCACAACGTGGTCCTCGCTTTTACGAAACAATTCAATCCTGGGAACCCCATCTTAAATTGTTCCCTGTTTTCCCATTCACAGTGCAAACGGCGTAAACATTCCTTGCCGATGTGGTTTTTCTTTTATCAGCCATATTTAACAGGGTTTAATAGGTAAAAAAAATCCACAAAAAAACACTTTAGAATAACAAAAGCTCCACGCTCAAGTCACATTGGAAACCAGGCTGGCCGTTAAAATGTTTCATTTCAGAAGATGCGTCGTAAATCTAATTTCTGTGTCGTAAATTTATGCATGCTGGCATTCTATAAGCGTCGTAAATGTGGAACGTCGTAAATCTGACTTTCGAAAGCCGGAGGCCGCCTGTATATGAATCACAATAATCGATTCTCTGCTCCCACATGCAGTGTGAGATTAAAATGCATATTCCTAGTACCTACTCATTGTCTATGCCTAACTCCTGTGAACGCTATTATAAATCTCAACAGGCTCTCGTGGTTAAATCAAATGAATTATCCAATTAACCTTATGGCGGTACCATAGTACCCCGGCTCTTGCACAATGTCCGTGATGCAGTCATTTTTAGTCTGTTGATGGTCGGCGATGCGGCAATCGACTCATCTCGGCGAGTTGTATACGATGCACCACCACCACGGTGCGTACGAGCGTTCAGAGTTTCAGCGCAATCGTCCTCGCTGCGTTTCGACATCGCCGAGTGTGGCACTGATTTCGGATTGATTGGTACCCCAGTCGCGGAGTTAAGTACACCCCTGGGAAAAATAGTGTCCCAGAAATAACATTTAATTGCCTCGGCCATTTAGCATTATTTGGTACCCTGGGGTACCGCCATAAGAATCAAATAAGTAATTATCCGGAATTTTACGAGGAAAGATTACTTGTTTCGTAATCAGGCGAGATATCCAAATAGAATGCGAGGCTAATTTCTTGTAATTTTAATTAGATGTTTTTTTTTTTCCCTCCTCGTTAATAAAATCAATTGGGGTTTGTTCTTAAACGTGTAAATATTTCAATCGAATTCACAGTGAAACCCATCACTTTATAAAGTGCACATATGCTGCCCCCTACTGTTGTGAGCCTTGCATGAAAAATGCGTGTGCTTTTGCACCCCGTGCTGGAATTTTAATAAAATGTCGCAAAATCAGGGTTATAAACCAGACTCTTTGGTTTTTTCGGTAAAGTCACGTAGGTAAAAAAGAAAATAAATAAATTAAATTAAATCACGACGTTTCGATGGCAACACAAGCTTCCGTCTTCTTTTTACCTACGTGACTTTACCGAAAAAAACAGAGTATGGACCCTTGCAGTCACGAAAACTTCAAATCTAGAATGAGGTTATAAACAAGTTTAACCCACGATTCTTCTCTTCCTTTTCTTTTTTAGTTGTTTACCTTTTGTAATCTTCCCCAATTGTATCTCGCGTGTGCTATGGACATCACGCCATGAGACTAAGCACCCATATGGTTCTCCCGCAGAGCAATACAACCCTTCGTGTTAACAAATGGCCCATGAAAGTAGATACTTGCAGAGCTACCGCTTGAGATCCCTTCAAGACAACTCTGACCCACACAGCAGAGGGCAGCACTCTCCGCACCGGCAATGTTCTTTAAAAAACAAACGGTGATCCCAGTGGTCGGCGTGGTGGTTCTGGTGCTCTTGAATGGTAGTCCCAGCAGTCTTGAGTGATAGTTGCAGCAGTCTGCGTTATAGTTTTGGTGGTCAACTCCAATACCAGCCAACCGGTTCGACCAGATATGCCGCTCAAACTTATGACACAGGAATCCACACTCAGGGATCAGAATGACTGTTGTCGATTTTGTATTCCATGAATGGAAATGTGATTCCTAGGATAATAATCATGAGAACCCTCCAGCTCTAATGCCTAATCAGGAATATATTTTTTTAAATGGTCAAAATAAAGTACCTATTTTTTTCACAGACTTGGCTGTATATGTTATTGCCCTGCCTGGTTGCTCTTTTTGTTCATTTGCGTTTCCTTTTTTCAGATGGAATCGAGGGACAAACCATTTGCTGTTCAACATGCTGCCAGGCAGCGTTCCAGAGTACAACACAGCCTTGGATGTTCCCAGAGACAGGTAATTAATTATAAATGTGCTGCTGCTCCTTTGTTCAGAGACTCCAGCTGTACTGACAAGCCAGCGTGGCTATGCTCATGGTTCAGCAATGTTCACATCAATGAGCACAATTCTTACCCTGCCTTTCTGAGGGCAGCGCTTTGGGCTGTTTTTATTTACAAACAGCCGTGGACGAAATTCATCCCCTCCGATTAGCACGGATGGCCTCGTTCGGTGGGAAAGAAGTTATACAGACATACGACTAATACCCATAATTGCACCACATATCGCCATTGATTCTTTCAAACTGCTAGATCTTGTAGGTCTTGTAAAGTCGACTCCTGATCTCCAAGGTTTGCTCTTACAGGCTTCCTATCATCTGGCTTTAGGTCGACCTCTTGGTCACCAACTTCTGGGTGGCACTGAAATGCCTGTGTCACCTGCCCTCCTCCATCCAACACATCGTGTCCCATATTCTTAGGTTTTTTCGGTAAAGTCACTTTTCCGAAAAAACCTAAGAATATGAATCATTGCAGTCACGAAAGCTTCAAATCTAGGACATCGTGTCCCACCCATAACAATTTCCTTTTTCTCGGCTATGTGATGGCAGTGAAGATTCATATTTAGTTTTAATCTCATTTCCACGTTGTCACATCTATGCTCCCCGATTTCACCAAATCACACTGATCATCGTGGTGAAGTATGGTCAAGTATCCCCCCATGACCCTCATCCAGCAGTGGATTGACAAAAGGACCTCATATAATGTATTGTAAAAATTGACAACTGACCTCAAAAGGGTCTGCTCTGGCAGTGTGTACTGCCATCTGAATTTAGGTATTTTCCTTGGTCACCAATGTAATGGAACAAAGTAATGAATCTAAGAATTGTCACTGCTGCGAGTGCGTTATTTCTTGGCAAGCTGATGTCTTAGCCGTACATTATTCAGCAGGGGGCAGTCACGCTCCTAGGTTTGCTCAGCTATAGTACATAATTCCTGTTCATTGTAAATCAGTGGGCCCACAGTTATTTCCAACAAATATATAACCACAAGGCCGAGGTCACACTTGAATTATAACTCATTGACTTTACCTTTAACATGCCCGTCACAAATGCAGTGACTTTTCATGAACACCGTGAAATATTGGTGCAGATTTTCGTTTTCGTCAAATTTTTTGCAAAAATGTCTGTCTCATTTACCAACAGTGGGGGGGGGGGGGGGGCGGGCTATTGTGTTTGGGCAGTTTTTCGCCAATATAGGAATCTGGAACCTTATATGTGTTTGGTATTCGGATGTGTGAGTTACATGCAGCACAATGTTTACACGTGGCCACGCACTAAAAGACACGTGGCACTGAATAACGCGGTTACTGGCGTAGTGAAAAGGTTTATTTTAACAGTTGAAGTGTTCACATCTGTTGCAGTTTCTAGATGTTGTTGAATTTATACAAACCTACGCGAATGTGCTTTGCCGAACACGTGCTATGTTGTGTGGTAGGCAATGTGCCCTACAGGTGTTTGAAGGAGAATCACGTGACAGGCCTCCCATGATGCAAGTGCACTCACTACTAGAGTGACAGATTGCATTGGTATAGTATTGTGTATGTACTTGTCCTGCCATTTGAGAATCAACCGCTGGCTGAGGACCCCTCCCGACACTGTCCGGGTCATGGGGGGATATTTGGCAGTGTTTCACTATGCCGGACAGCGCGGGATGGGAGAATAGATCGAGGTGCATGTTAATCCAGTACAGTGATGGAATTGCAGCACTGCCCTCTGCTGCCCGCCATATTTGTCCTCGCTGCTCATATTCTAACTCTGCATCTGTAGTAATGATACACTGCTAAGAGAAAACAAATTAATCTTCCCAAATCCTATCCGAAACGTATTCTTTATACTTACTTGGCATGGGATTTTTGCACACAGTGTTGGTGTACAGTGCTTTTTCTGCAATATTTTGCTGTCTTTTCTTGGATTTTCTGTTTGCACATAGTCACTTTAAGATATTTTCTTGTTCATGTTTTTGTTTTTTTGTTTGTTGCGGTTGCACCCGATTCAAGAGCCGAATGGCTCACAGGGCTATACCTAATAAATGAAACTTGAAAAACTTGAAACTTGAAATCCCACAGCACTTAAATGATTGGCTACTTTGTTTCCATTTTGAGATAGTGATTTATCCAGAAAAAGACTCACCGAGTCTCAAGATTATTTTTCAGGAGGGTCCTGCATTGGGATGTTTGACCAATACCATTTAATAGGTGTGTAGCATGCGAGAACTAACTCGGGTACCTGGAGAAAATGCACACACACGAGGAGATGACACTGCCTTGCAATATCCTGCCCACACCTCGCAGCCCCATCCAATAACTAACCAGGCTCAACCCTCTTGGAGCTTCTAAGATCTCACAAGATCAATGCATTAATGGTGATTTGGTCTTTGGCAGCGATGGAGAAGCATGAAGAAACGCACGCTTAAAGATTTACATTGAGTGAGAGAAAGAGGAACGCGCGTATTAAAGGACATATGAAGGTTAGAGACATTTTTATTTTAAGAAAAGTAAGTGAGCTTGGGCTGGATGCCCCACTTAAAGAGATGTTGGCTGGTGGTCAAGACAAATGTGAGAATTGCAGTCAAAGGAGTGAACATGCCCGAGAGTACGTTTACTGTGGAGATTGAGCGATGAAATCAGTTCACGCATTGGTGCTAAATAGGTTGCTACTTCGCAGGACTATGAGATATGACAGTGGCTTAGGGGAGGCCTTCAACCACCAGTGGATTTATCATGGCTGCTGATGAAGATGATGGCCTTAAGCAGATTATACGAGACTACATGAAGTGACTGTGCAGTACGACATAAGCATACATGTATATAATATATTATTTTGGTTTCATTGAAAGTTATTGCAAATAAATGTATCACTGTCTCAGCAAATATAGTGCACGTGCGGCCAAAGGGAGAAAGAGGGGAAAAAAAAAACTCTATGCACATGTGGGGCGTGGGTGGAAGGTGCCGTGTGTTATGGCGCCATGTGTAGGTGGTGAAGTTGGATGATTACCCCCCGCCGTGGAATGATAAGTGTTTTTAACACAGAAACGAGTGCTGTGAACGTGGCCGCGATTTCGGCTATGTGAGTCGCGTGCGTTCAGTTTTTCTTGCTCTACCACCTACGCGATTAGGATTTTTTCGGCAAGGCAGACTATGATGTAGCACCCATGTGTACGTGTGCCATACTTGCCAACTCAACTGATTTAAGTGGTAGATTGCAGATTATAAACCCTTATTTTCGCGTACCAAATTTCAAAGCTATTATTTTTTTTCCTTTACCCAGAAAAGCCTCAGAGTGGTCAAAACTATTTTGCAGGAAGATCCTGCCAAGTTTTTACATTCAGGGGCTATAATTACTAAGTTGATTCCAACTTAGTAGTTTTTTGGCATATTTATTTTTCAAATTTGGCTCATTTGGACCATGATGCCAGCACACAATGGCCTACTCTTGCGAATGACGTCATTGGATTTTAAACTCCACTTTAAAGCAGATGATACATGTTTGTACGATTACCGCACGGTATTAATCCGGGTAGCTACTGGAGTCGAACTGTGAACCTCTGTAACAATCGGTGATCTCACCACCGCTACTTCAGGCCATATCACCGCCGAATCAGAATCTTTATTTATCCTGGAGGAATCCGATGAGCTATGAAGCTCTTCTTCACACATCTCTCGTAGGGGCGGATCAGCAAGTCACAACAGCAAACAATAAAAAAAAAACGATAGTGCAAAATAGAGAAAGGTAGGAAAGTCACGCGAAAAAAATAAACAAGTGTGAATTACAAAAGTACATAACAATTTCAAATAAATATATTGCCTTGGAAAATCAGTATGTGGCAAGTTGGTTTAAAATCAGCAGCCTGCCGATTCAATTGGTAGCGATGGCAAGTGTGCCATACGTGTACCTCTTGTATCTATCCGCTGCTGAATAAGGGTTCTCATGCCGTGCCGGCAGGCGGGGTCATTCGACCATACTTCACCGCGCCGATCAATGTGAATTTGGTGAATGCGACGAGGACAGACGGGGGAAGCTTAGAAGTGCAGCGCATCAATGGATTTTGCTGCATTACCCCCTCTACTGCTCACCTTGTAACCCACGGCCCTGTGACAAGCTGCATTTGCACGAAGTTCACACATACCAGCACTCTCTGGGGTTTGTTGAGCTTCCGAGATTTGATGAGATCAGGCACATTCTAGGGGAAGGCATGTACCACCCATTGCGCGTTAAATGGCTCACAGAACACCTTGCAGGTGACAATTTTAGAAATGAATTCTGATGCTATTTGTCTTTATTGTCAGGGCATTGCTTTAGACTTTAAGTTGCACGTGTTTTTTTTTTCCCGCAGTGTAAGTACATGGAGCTGCACAATGTACTGTAATGTGTTTTTTCTCAGCATTTTGTTTCTTTATTTTGGATCTTGTACCAATTTATTTTTCTTTCTTACAAATATGTGTCGTCTTTTTATGTTTGTGTATTTCTCCTTCGGATTTTTTTTCCAGTTCTCTCTTGGAAAGGGCAGATGTTGTTCTTTTGATGGATGGTTGATGATTAGGCATCTAACAATGCATTGATGCGTTGATTCGCGGATTAAAATCGGTTATTTCACTCACGATACATGCATTAATCTTGTCTGGGAGAATCGATCAAATATGATTAAGGCTAATGGAATGAGTGAAACTGTACAAATGAGACAAAGAATGACAAAATCAAGAAAGTTTCACTGACAGAAAGATAATGAATTACTCAGTTGATTTGTAAGTAACAATCCATTCAATCACCGAGTGAGTGGTTAGTTTACTTTCCTCATGATGAAGTTGATGATGATGATGCTTGTGATGGTGATGATACTAGATTTGAAACTTTCGTGACTGCAAGGATTCATACTCTTAGGTTTTTTCGGTAAAGTCACGTAGGTAAAATAATAATAAATGAAAATTTTTGTTTTTTAAAAATAATAATAAATGAAAATTGTAGTTGTTTTCATTTATTATTATTTTATTTTATTATTATTTTACCTACGTGACTTTACCGAAAAAACCCAAGGGTATGGTGATGATAATTAACAAAACACATTTTATTAGGGCTGTGGCTAAAACAGATGATGGTAATCGTGGTAAATGTGGTTATTGTTGATTTCGATGGTTTCAGCTCATTAAGCGCATTCGTTCTGCATAGGACGTGGCCAAAGCAACTCTTAATATTGCTGTTAAATTCAATGAACGTCTTGCGACACCAACACAGGTTGTCGCATGCATATTTGTCCTCTGTGCGTTATGTTTGTTGCATTCAGGGCTATACTGGCTGGCGGTGGTTTCTCGACATGGACGTACAGGCATGGCTACGATGTCAGCATTCCCGTATTCAGTGCTTTCTCCACGGAGGTGAACCTTCACGTCAAACCCCCGGGGTAAGTGCGGATCATCGATTGCCAGATTTTTCTTTGCTTCTCCGCATGCCGAGCGGATGAAAGGCTTTTTTTGCCGGTTAAATATTTCATTCCCGCACTCTTTCGTGGCAGGCGTCACATTCAACGCACGAGGCAGGTGGGGTGAAGCGATGCACTGGAGCAGGTTTGTAGATGTTGCCGAGTTGTGAAGTTTCCGTGAAGTCACAAAATCTGCTATTTTGTTCAAGTGGGGAAAAACCGTACATTGAGCAAACTTTGTGTATCCCTGTCGCTGCTTGAGCATTTCTCCAATATACTTTTTGAACTGTTGGGAAATTCATCCAATAACAATGTGCTATTTTGTATTTTACAGTAACAAGCAGCTGTTTACATTTGGCCCTCCCTATTCGGAGATTTAGGTTTTCAGGGAATGAGAAAGCATTATTTTTGAGTGCCCTGAAGGTGGCCAGAAAAGCCGCAATGCTTCCAGAGCCTTGTTAATGAATCATCACTTGCCACTTTGAAGTTGGAATGGAATGATGTCATGCCTTGACAATTTATAGCCCACGTTAAGACAGCTTGTGATGTGATATAGCTGCACTTTTTTTTCCCGTCCTAGATTTTTCAAAGAAATAGTACCTATAAAGGATGATTGATTTTGGTTCATTCCTTTTTGTATGTATTTTTCTATATATAAAGTGAGATGGATTTTCACAACGTTGCCAACATTCTCATCGTCAAATCGTGTGCAAATGGGGGGAAATGGGCCATCATGCAATCACATTTGTAAGCATAAGCAAAAGAGTATCGCTCGATTCCGTAATTAAAATCAATTCATAGACTATCTTAATTTTGGAGCTTTCGTGACTGCAGGAATTATTCTTTGGTTTTTTCGGTAAAGTCACGTATAAAAATAAAATAATAAATTAAATAATAGCATACGACGTTTCGTACTCATTGACATGTAAATGTTTTCCCTACCCCCTCCCTCTCTCTGCCTCCGCCCCCCTCTGTCTATTTAAGGCCACCCCACAGAGACGATCACCTCTCTCTGTACCTGGGTTGCTCTCTCTATGTATCTTGGTGATATCTGTCTGCTTATATGTCTGTCTATAGTTTTCTGGTTATATTCTATGTCGCTATTTCATTATACCTGATGATGATTGCTTGTGTTGCAATCGAAACGTCGTATGCTATTATTTAATTTATTATTTTATTTTTATACGTGACTTTACCGAAAAAACCAAAGAATAATTCATAGACTCTTGGTAAATCTCATTCTGTCATAATAAGTTATGTTTGATTCGTATATCTTGTATGTCATGGGTTCATTTGACAACTGCGGTCACTACTGGCTGCTGTATTCACAGTGATAAAAACATTTGAGCTAAAATCGAATTGCGAACCTGCAATTGTGAAAGCTCATCCATGAGCAAGGCGGATGTATCATTGGCCTGTGCTAATTTAACATAACCCGATGCTATTTTTCTAATGTCAAGTGTGTAAGCAATATTTACCACAACCCTTGAAGCAAATTCCACTAATTTGTGTTCTCATTGTATTACGAACATTAGTAACCTTTTCCCATTCCGAGACGACTGCATGTTGCAGGGTGGGGTGGGTGTTCCGTTCACCGCTATACCTCGGGAATGCACAAGCTGTTCAGCTTTAATTTTATTTATAGAGGAATAGTGCCATTGTTTTTAAGGACATTGTACTCACCGCAGAGAACTTTAGCCACACGGACCACACTCTTTGATAGCTGGCGCCAAACTGTGCCACGCACCCTCCAGCAGCGCGGCCTTGTGGGAGCCTCGGGTCCAATAAAGTTGTTTTAATTTAATTTATCTTCCGGTTTCGTTCCGATGACGTAGCCCAGCAATTGCTTACTCATTCCACTGCTGGCATAAGATCCTCCACTAGATGGAGCTCAAAAGAGCCCCTCCAGAGGCTATTTGGTCTTCTCTTTCACACTGGCCAGACATTTGGGAATAGTGAGGAGCACCACTCACACTTTATCCCACCGCACCTGACCGTTTGATGTACTCTTTGGTGTACCCATTTTTCCTGCTGGGTGGACAGAGGTGGAGGGATTGACAAAAAAAACTTGCCATTGTTGCCTCTGCCACTCGGGGAGATCGGAGCAGCAACCTCTGGATTGCAAGTCTAGCGTGCTAATTGTTAGACTGCGACTGCATCCTCGCTGCCGTAATTGTAATTTTAGCAAACTTGAGTTCTGGGCAAAAAAAACAAAATCCCTCCGTTTGTTTTTTTTGTGCCTGCGGGTCACTGCATGACGGAGGGAGGCAGATAGGGAGGACAGAGCGTGGCAGGGGCAGCGGCGCTGGCGGCGGTCTACTCACTCACGTGCGCACGCACGCACACACGGGCAATAATCGTTTCCATGCGGCACTCACCGCGGCTTGGCGCCCTGCCCAGCAGCTGCGAGCCAGAGGGCAGTAACGCCACGAAGCCTTGCAGGGGAGTGAAGAGATTTGGAGGAAGATTGCTGATAGTAAACCGCAGCGTTCTTATGGCTTAGAGGCAGCCCTTTACATTTTGTTTGCGCGGCACCAGACATATTGGTTGTTTTATTGTTTGAGGGTACGTCTGAGCTTGGCTTTTAATTTAATTTAAAATTGCGCCACGTGCCCTGCTTTGATGCAGCCTAGTTGGTGGGATTCTTGTAGCAAGGGCTTTAGTATTTAAGCGTGCCAGTCTTTTCGGTGATGTAATTTGTGAAGTGGGGTAGAACCGGGCACCGCAGTTAGCGCTGTGAACCCACTGACCTGAGTTTGATTCCGGGCTGCAGCTGTAACATACGTGGTGAGTGTTGTTCAAACCATCCCCCTTGACTCATTTGCATTTACCAGCACGGTGAAGTGTGGTTGGTCAAACACCGACATGGCGTGGAGGTACCGTTATCCAGCAGTATATTGACAATGGGCTGTACGTTTAATAAATAATAAATAATATTTGAATGGTTGGACATTTTGTAAAAATTTTAGCACACTGCTTTCTTCATTAATGTTTATCAAATCTTAGTGCAACGTGTAACTTAATCTTCATGTAGGCTGTCCAAAAATTTAGTGAGATCAATGAGCATGCCAGAAAGGTTACTTTAATTACGTTATTGATGACTTCGCCTGTGGTGTCGTATTGCCTGGTTTGATGAGAGCACAGGTACGTATGATAGGAAAAGTGCCATATATGCCTCAGTGAAATGGTGCTCAGTGAAAACGATCCCAACGTAAAGCTTTCGTGACTGCAGGGATTCATCTTCTTGGTTCTTTCGGTAAAGTCACGTAGAAGGGAAATAATAAAGTCATAAAAATAATAAAGTAATAAAATAATTATTTTTATTATTTCCCTTCTACGTGACTTTACCGAAAGAACCAAGACGATGGATCCCAACGTAACCATGGATACTCAGGCCTTCCATGGAAATTGTATGCTTGCGTATGGCAATATGTTCAAGAGCTAAATGCCAATGTCGAGGTCTGCTCGCCATGAGGTCACTTCAGCAGCGAGTTTGTGTGGTTTTTCTATTCCCCCGTTGAAGAATCTCACTATAGTACAGTGGGTTACGATTTAGTCCATAGTTTGGGTTGCATGGGCACACTCGTACTGTGGCCTGTCCCCCATGGAAATTAAAATAATGAATCTCAATGTGTGCTGTCGTAGTCAAAGGACATTGAATTGATTTCATGTCATGGCTAAAAAACATTGGCAAAGCAAAGTTTATATTACCCCTGTAAGTTAGTTTTAGAATTTATTTATGCTTAGCAAATTTGCTTTCCTTGGGAACAAATATGTTATTTTAGATGGTTAAATTAAATAAATGCAGTAGCGTTATACAAGAAACACATTTTTTTTACAACGCATAAAGCAGAGCCCCCTTATGATCATAAGATAGAACAAACGAATGCTGAACACATCGGCGAAGGCTCTCGTATCCAAAGCAAAGCGGAACCTATAAATCTGATTCTCGGTGTGTGTCTGCAGACGTTATGAGTTCAGTATGACTTCAGTAGCACTGTTAAGGAAAGCCTTTGTGTTTGTAAGCATGGCGAAAAAAAACATTCGTCACCCGGTGTGCCTTCGGCAGAATGACCCAGAAAGTTTTCCAGCACAAGAGCCTAGCCTTGTGGAACGCCTTTTGACAGTGGTTCGGTAGGAGTAATGGCATAGAGTTCTGATGGATTAACAAGAAAGGAAAACGCCTATAATGGTTTTCCTTGTTAGGACGAGCATTATGCTAAGGAAATGTAGATTTGTTATACTCGTGTATGTATGTGTATGCAGTCAATGTTTTTACGCCTGAATGCGATATACAAAACCATGCCTACATTCATGCTCCCCTTAACTGCCTTTGTTATACTATGTGTTGGTGGTTTTGGAATATATCTTCCTGGAATGTGATTTCCAGTGTTATTGCCTGCCAGCACAGCTGAAAGCAATATCAAATGACTGCAGTTTTGGTATCTGTTTTACAGGCCGAATTTTAAGAGTATGCCATGAAGTCTGATGAATGTAACATTAAATGAACGGATTTTTGTTTATCTTCATACAAAACAATCACCATCTTTTTAACAAGGCTACGCGTTTAAATGATCACCAGAAACGTGCAACATATGAGAAGCGCTCTTAAAATATTTTACTGTATTATACAGGGTGTTTCAAAAAGATGGCCCAATTTCAAAGCAGTATATTTCACGATGGCAACATGTTACAATTACACAAAAGTTACAAACGGTTTAATGAGTTATCAAGTTTGACTAACCATATTATAAATGCTCTATGTTCCCTCCACCTTCTGTACGGACAACATCGGGACAATAGTTGAATTCGTCCCAAACGCCTCTCTTGTCACGTTTTCCTGAGGTGCGTGGTCACCCTGTGCTCTTCCCATTACATAAACAGCCTGTTTCCTCAAATTGTCGGTTCGGTACCAACGACGAATGCTCTTTGACATTGGAGGAGTATCAATGCCAAAACGCCGTTGAAACGCACGCTGCACC